CGTTTGAGAGATTTCAAGGTCAAGGCTCGAACTTCAGTGCTTAATTCTAACGTACGATCGGTTCACAAGGGATTTTATACAAAACGTGATAATTGAGCGGCCTTGACAAATAAAACGGCGAGACTATAATTTATGAACGAACCAATCAAGTACAAAATAACAGATCTCGGGTTTTAACGCGAAAGCCTTTCATTCATTTGGCTAACTAGATTTCTGGCATTATAACTGATGTCAGTTCGTGATGAAAACCCTATATATAATTCCTAACTAAGGGAAATTATGACAATTATTACGAACTGGATAATTAAAGCACCAGTAACACTGGCTTCAGCCATGTACTATAATATATACGGATGATTGGAGAGTGTACAGACTCCTACATAGGCTTGGTTATGTGCATCGTGTCGTTATCCACAAGTGGCATTTCATGTACTCAACAACCGGAGTACACGCAAACAATATTGAAGCTATGTGGTCGAATTTAAAAGAGTTTTTGAGACTTTATCATGGCTCCAGAGGCCGACTATTCTATAGCCATATGGATGAGTTTCTCTACTACTTACATTACGATTTTGGAGCCTATGAACCTCTTTCTAACATTGACAAGTCTTTGAACCACGTATAAATAGTGTATCCACTTTCTTTCTTTGGTTTTGTATAATATATTTTTACTCTATACTTACTGTTTACTGATTGGCTAATATTTATCAAGGTCACTCAAGATTTGTTCAAAAGTCGTCTATAAATTATAGTCTCTCCGAACTCCTAATGATGTTAAGTTTTCACAATTTATTTATATCACTCTAAAGACTGGTGTCATTTAGTAAACTTTATGTCAAGTTTTCCTAATTGATTGATCTGTGTTTATTAGGTACTTTTGAATAAATAAGACGATTTACTTAGAAGAGATGTTCATATTATTAAGGTGAATCTCTTGTCCATGAAGAAACTTGAAATTTTTCAATGAATAATGTATATAGGTAATAATACATATAGGTTATAACATGTGTTCTTAGATAGCTATATTTATTGTACTATGAATTACTAATTCTTGACTACAGTATGTACTTGTGTTTTGAACCACTGTGAATTTCAGAAAGTTTACAAGTAACTTCATGATAACTTCTTATGTAGTTTTGTAATTGTTTGTTAAATAATGCAGACATTAAAAACTAGTAGAATTTATCAATGAAAATAATATATTTGTAATATCCTGATGGGTAAGAAAAAATTTGAATTTTCTAACGTTTTATGACTTAGTGTAATCTATTTCTTCAGAGAACTAATAAATAAACAAATTGAACTCAAGCAAGTTTAACTAGTACAAATGAATAAAATAAAAGTATTAAGTACAGTCAATCAAAAAAACAGGTTTAATCAAGTTACTGTAAGTTAGAACCGAATTTGTGTAGTTTTGATAATGAGATGAGATGTGGATAGAATTCGATATGGTAACTAGGATAAATGGTCTAAGTTGAATAGACGGTAAGGCCTTCTGCTATACTGAGGGAAGTAAGATTTAGTAACATATAGAAAGCTTCGGCCACTCATCTTTCTTCATAGTTGTGAAACCCATTTTAGGTTGTTTTATTATTTTTAGTATCGAAACGTCAGAAAATTCAATTTTTCTAGTCGTTAGGATATTACAAATATATTATTTTTCATTAACAGTTTACTCAATTTAAAATTATCAAGTCATACCTTGGTATTCATACCTACTGCAAGATTCAAGGTAAAACCACGGTTTATATTACAAGGAAACAGTCGAACTATCTAAAGAATATTTGTTAAAATTATTCTCTCATGTTTTGTAATCTCAAGCGAAAAAGTTAGGCACAATAATGGTGAAGCTTAAGCTGATCTAATTTCCATGCTATAAAAATTAAGAATTAAATGTGAAGTAAAATTAGCAGAATTTGTGAACACTAAGGCTATCGATGTGTGTATAAGGTGTGTTTGTAATTTAGCAACATGTTAGAATACATACAATCAACAGTGTCAAGTAAAATGCTTTTCGACGGCATGTACTAAGGTTTTGTGTGACAGTATCCACCCATCATATTTCTCTCACAAACCTAACAAAAAACCAAATAAATATCGAAAAAAAGGATTATTAGTGAAAGAAACAACTATATACCAGATATATTTTAGTCATCTGACTTCAAATTGCGTTATGTAAAATAAGATTTGAGCCTAAAGGAAATATTAGTTAGTAAGCAGTTATCAGTCTTAGTTGATAATAGTTATGTTGTTGTGCTAATTTTTAATGTTCAGTTATTGAATAGAAATGTAGTGCATAAAAGCAGCGTGGATTGAATTGTTAGTTAATTCGTTAAAGTCACATATACTGATTTCTTGTATTACGCATTATCATAATACCATAGTTTTAATGTGTATTTATGCGTATATGAGTTGGTTTACCTAAGTTTAACATATGATACAGGCAGGCAATCTACTATAAACTTATTTACATAGATCAGTCTTGTTTTAATTAAGATATATTGAAATATGATAAGTATGTTGATTTCGGTTTCAGGAAGTATGAACCGATACTCTTTCTTTGGAGAGTGTTTTGACTGAGGTTGTAAAGATTGATTTTTTAGGTGCCAGAGATTTTCACTATAAATTTGATTATCATTTAGGAAAAGATTTACTATTAATACAAACTTATATCAATGTATTGTAGTTCTAAAAGTAGGGAGGGTACTTTTCATAACCTACGTGCTTAAGAAACAAAACTCAGAATAACTTATAAACACAATTTTTCGATAATAAATTGTGTTCAAAATTTAATTTGGGCAGATGTTTTTCAGAGTAACTTTTATTTCATACGATGATTTAGTATATTGGTAATTTCATAACTTAGACAAAGTCTACAAATGCCAAATAATATTAAAAGTTTTTCAGAACGCCTACGATTAATATTCTTGAATTGTTTTCTATTTTTATGACTTCACATTGATCTCCCAACTACTGTCATTTTAATTTCCACATATAAAAATATAGCTGTTAGTTGTCCAGTTATTATGAAGTACTTCTGACTGTAATTTAGTTTTATTTAAATTAACAACCGTTCCCTTTTTTATTGTGTGCATAAATATTGCAAGTGATGTTAAAACAGTTATTAGGTCTCACCATTGTTTCATGAAGTTCACATCAATCGATCACTCAATAATAACCACTATGTACACTTTAGTGCTTAGTCAATTTTATATGTTAATTTACATTGTGATCAAACAAGCCAACACTGTCGAACAATTTGCTTGATATAAGACAGTTGACATAAAACTACCAACACATTAGTTAGTGCTTCAAAGTAATATGCCTCTATAACTCTCAAGGAACTAATGCTATTCATATGGTTTTAACCCACAACACCTAGAACAATTAAGAATAATGCTATCAGTGGATTTGGTGTCCTGAAGAACTGGGACTTTTAAAGTTACACGTAAATCAGTTGTAACTGGAACGATATTGTGTATTTCAAAGTGATAATCTAATAGTTTGCATTAATTTTATCAGATAATATGAACTAAATTATCGATCCTTTCCAGATAGTATAAAAAAAGCTTAGTATGTTTATAAGCTAGGATTTTATGACATTTCCCTAGCTTCAATAGTTTACAGAGATATACATGTAAATGCAAACAGAATGTAAATTAATTTACAGAAATTTATGTTTCATCGATTTCGTGGATTGGTTGAGGTTAGACATTAATACCCTTGGATACCGGCCGGCCCAGTGGTCTTGTGGTTAAGCATTCGCGCGCAAGACCGAAGGCCATGGGTTCGAACCTCGCGAGCGGGATCGTGGATGCGCACTGGTGAAGAGTTTCACAATAGGACGAAACTGCCGTCCAGTGCCTTCAAGTTTTCAGTCGGTTCATGATCTCAATCAAAAAATTTCAAATACACTTGTTTTTAAAATATCGTTCATTAAAAATTGTCTTATAAAAATATAAAAGTAGTGATTGGTACTTTACTACAAATCATGAATTGTATCATTTATTGATAAGATATAGTAACCTAGAAAGTAATAACTTTGGATTATTTTTTAGTAAAAGAACAGTAAGTTATGTTTAAAAACATCAACTATTCAAAAGCTTACAAAGTTGTAAAGGAACCTTTCATTTCTATAGAAACGATCTGTCTTAGCTCACTTCCATATAATCTGTTTTACGCTTCACATTTATAAATCATGTTACATATCAAGAATCATTTAGTTAAAAATTATAGTACAAAGACAAAAATTGGTAGTTTATTACAGTTTAGGCATTTCATCAATATTTATTTAGTTTCTGATGAAAATGACATAGAAATGTAAACAAAACATGAAATCATTGTTTAATTCTTACCTTGTGCTAATTTACATTTAATTTATCTGTAAGACTTTAATTTATGGACAAACCAATCAGACCTGTGATAGCAGGTCTCAGGTTTTGGCGCGTGATTCATTCATCTATTTGGCTAAATAGAGTTTTGATATTTTAGCTGATGTTAGTTCGTGATGAAAACTCTAAATCGAATTCCTAACCCTAACCCACAATTATAAATCATAATCTTTATTCTTCATGCAGTTTGGTAACTGTCATTTAGCTCTAGTGATTTGGTAGATATTCTCAAGGTCATTTTAGAGTCGCTCAAAGGTCAACCACAAATTATAGTCTCACCAATTTACCTTAACTACTCATCCAGAGTCTATTTGACAGTTGATTGAAATCAAATACTTTGTATACTAATTAAAGCTTGAAATTATAATTTTATTTATAATTTAATTATTTGACATTCAAATAGTACAAAATCTATTGAGAAGATAAAAGTTTTATGTATTTTATTTTGATTCTAATTTACTAATTACTGATTGATAAATTATTTTTGTTTTCCAATCAAACAGATTTCTTTCTGACAAATAGATGATGGATAGATAGATAGACAGACAGGAATATAGCGATTTACAGACACACGGCAAACATGATTATATTTTATTTGAGTAAATTGTTAGTAGTATTTTCATAAATCAGTAACTACTTTGTTTTCCTTTTAGAAAATATTTTCAGGTGAGTTACATTATCGCATTATTATATTTTTTAAAAATGTATTCCTTATAAATGTGTATTATCTAATTTTATGTAAACCAGTTAATTAAAAAAATTTGTCTGTAGCTCTTCTAGGGCTACTGCCGGTCCCAAACTCAGGTAAAGGAGGAGAGTTGGGCATAGAGTTAACATTTTCAACCTACAGAAAACAATTTTTGCTAAAGAAACACTAACCAGAATAAACACATTTTTAGTTAATTTAAGAAAAGAATTAGTAATAGTATCATGGTTACATGGGTTTTATTTAAAAAATATCCTCTATTTCTACAGTTAAGGGTTCAATTAACAATGAATTCGGGAGTATTACGGCTGTTGATTGTAGAAAGGAGAGATTTATTTTGTCGATCCAGTAATTTAAATATTTTTGTTCCATGTATTGATAATTAAAAAAACATGAAACTCATATTATGTTCAAAAGCTATGTGAGAACTACAAATATGTTAATCACAGCTGCTTTCATTTATTTGTAGTGAGTGATGGAAGGAGGATTTAATGATTACCGAAACTGACTTGATTTCATTGGATGTTAGTTTGGAATCTCACTTCATTTGCCTATATATGAAACGGACAGTAGTTCCTTTGTGCGTTAATTTAAGGATATATTAAAATTAATGGTTAGTAATTTAATTAATTTTAAGGTATAATTATAGAAGTTCATTATCTAGTGTTATGAAACTGAAATGTAAAATATGGAAATAATGAAGTATGGTTATCAAAGAGGAAGCTAAATTATCACATTTCAAATGATGAAAAGTGTTATCAAAGGGTAGTGATTCCATATCCATTTAACCCTTTTTACTGTTTTGCCAACTGAGTTTTCAGACTTAGATTGTATTTTTTTGAGGGGAATCACAGATATTCAGCTCTTTGATTTATTGAAATGGGAATGCTTAAGTTCATTATTTTGCAATACTGACTTCGGTTAACAGTGTTATTTTGTTACAGTTAATTACATTTCCAACTATGTAAGCTACATACAGTATCGTATATATTTCATACCTTAGAAAAACAAATTAACATAAAATCGAGTATCTTGATCTAAGCAATAATAAAGTTCGGTTAGATTTTAGACACGAAATATCTAAACTATAATTTTATAGGCAATAATACTTCATACCCAGTGTTAAGAATAAATTATTCAATAGATTTGGTGGAATCGTATCACAATTCTACCACTGTGAAGATGAATATGCTAGTCGATAGTTTATTTCTTTGTATACAAAGAAAACTCCATTAAGTATTCTTTGTCATATATTTTTTAATGAAATCAATGTATACTTTTTATTATATAATTACTTAACTATGAGATTAGAAGACATGTATGGTCAAAAAAGTCTTTTACTGGTTTATGTTCTGTTTATGGATAATATGGAATGATGTTGTTGGATAACGGAAGTTTCTAATCAGTGCTTAGGGGTTGCACTAATACCAACTTTGTTTTTAGAAATTCCTATACATTTACATTTTCTGTCTAGAAAAACTAGAGTTAAGGAATTTTCACGAATTATTTTATGATTTAGCATATTCATTTGAGAGTTAGTGCTGGTGAAAGTTACAAAAAATTTCAAATGCTAGCTTCATTTGGGAAATTTATAATCATAAAATTTGACCAGATGTATATCTAACAACAGTATTATTTCCTAACTTGTTACTGACCAAGGGTATTCATCCTTATTGTTTTTGATTGGAAAGATATACCTCTGAAAGACAAAGGTGTTTACCTACGATTATGCAATGTATAAATATTGTGTGTCTGGGTGATTTTCTAATACATATGACTATTTGAGTTTTAAAATGAAAATCTAAATTTGGTTGATTTACAATCACTGTTTATACATATATTTATAGTTATAACTGTACTTATAAATTACACATTAAGTACGTTCCAGATTTATTCGATTCTTCATACATTTTTCAAGATAAATATTTCACAGTAATGTTGTTTGAATAAGCATTTATAGATTCTATAAAGTCACCTACCTACATAATGACAACTATTTGAATAGTAAAGAAACGGAACTATGCAGCTAGTTCAGCGTTGTTGCAGTGTGCCTGAAATTCAAGTACAGTTTTCAGTTTGACAGATAAGATTTAATTAAATGTATCAAGTTATTTGACCTTATTTGCATCCAGATCTGTTAGGAGCAATTTAAGACATACTTAATATCCTCGTGCCAATACATCATGGTTTAGTGAATTTTGTATTGACTAGGCTTTTAAGAAAATACACTACAATTGAAAAAAACTTAAATAAAAGTATCTTTTGTTTCTAATCGTCTATCCAGAGGTGTTTGAGGCCATTAGAACAGTTTTAAGTGTTTTTATAAAATTTACTTTTGGTTGTTTTCACTGATTATCCAAAGTTACTTTATCCATAAAACAAACATAAGGGCTTATAAAATCGATGGACTGGGACTAGCAGCGGAATTCAGAATTCGGGACTTGTAAGCTGGATGTGCCTGCATTCCGGAGTTTATAATAACCCCGGATTTCAAACACAGTACCTTTACATACAAAAGTCAACCGCATCATCCACTTAGCTACTGAATCCAGTTAGCCAATAGTTTGTCCAACTGGTGTGAGTTTAAATTAACTTTTTAGTTGTTCCGTGTTGATATTGTTGTATTAATTTTGATCGGTCTTAATTGGCATATGTACATCATGTGAGGATTGCCTCGATACAACTATTTTGTTACAAATGTTTTAGAGTTTCACTGACTGAAATAATATATACTTCCACCTCTAGTCCTATTCAAATTATCGACTATCTTTTCCTCACTAATTTTATTTATCATACTGAAATTTAATCTATTACAATTTTCTTAACTTTAGATCGAAATCATGTCACTGAATGATGTTATATTAGATCATGAATCAAATCAATGCCTATTTGTATGCACTAAGTGTGGAGCAGAATATGTTACACGAGATATGTTAGCTATGCATATGATGGATAGTGCACGTGCTGGAATGTGTATAGAAACTGATGCAACCACTAATGCATCAAATGTGAACAATAGTACTAATCACAAGATAACACTCTGTGAAGATCTACTTGATTCAGATAAGCTTATTACACAAAAACATGATGGAATATCAAACAATTTCGATCCTTCACCGTATCGTTCTTCTTTATCAAGTTGGATAGGTGAAAGAACTGAGCCAATATTTAATATATTATTTAATCAACTCACTTTACCGAATTTATATTCTATACAAAATTCTACAACAAATAATAACAATAATAACAGTAAAGATATAAACAATCTTCATACAAATCCGAAAAACCGTAAATTCTTATCAGGATACGAAGGTAATATACCTTCTCTAAGAGGATGTCAAATAAATCCAGATGATTCTTCATCATTTATAGATATGCAAAAAAGTGAATGTCTACATAATCTACTGTTGAATTCAAAGTATCCAACAAATAATATTCCTCCAAATATAAAGATGAATTTAATTCGGTCTTTAAAAGTTAATGAAACGGATGTATTTCCAAAACCAACAATAAAAGACAATGTTCGAGTTATGAATGAAAAATCTATCTCAAACGATAATAAAATTAAATTGAAAAATGTTCCTAATGAAGTTGTAACAAGTCAGACATCAACATCATCAGTATATTCTTTTATAAAGTCTCTCACTGGATGTAATGCTATATCAACCTCAAATCGTGATATTTCAAAATCATTAAATTTTTCACCAGGCACATCGTTAAGTAATGAAGATCAAAAATTTCTAAATAATGTTCAGTGTAAATCTCACAGAGAAAATCAAGACGTTAATAGTCAAGAAAGTTTGAAAATTGCTATTCTAGATTCAAACGTAAAATGTATTGAGAATCATAAAGTGTCTAAGTGTAGTGAATTGTTTGAAGATGTCAAGAGATATGAGATTATTGATCAACCCGTCACAATTAAAAGAAGTCGATCATTGCCCTCACCACGAGGATTAGGAAATCAAAAAAATTGTGAAATGAACTATTCGGTTTTGAAAGGAAATAATCAATTTTTAAATACAAGTAATATGAACGACAGTGATGGTGTTTTTCATAAGGTGAAGAGAATTTTCTTAAATTTGAGATGAAAATAATTTAATTTAGTTTATAGTTTAGTAATATCTTCTCACTTGTAATACAGTTTGAAAGTTTTAAAATATGCTTAGACTGTTTTGTGCTGGTAACCTATGTCATGTTGTATAGCCATTATTGATAACTGAAGTCTATCTGAAAAGTTTCAATTTAGTCATCAATCCGAATGAATTTTTAAAGATAAGTTGATTGGAACCAAGTGACAGGAAGTCTTAGACTTAGTTTACGTGCTAGTTGAGTAAATATTGTCAACTAATATCAGACGTGATTATTCTTAGTACAATGGCGTTCATGAGCGATAATTTGTAATTAAGTGATACATAAATTTATCAGTATTAACTTATTTCAATTAATTTCTGTTATAATGAATAAGGTGTAAATATATTTTAATCGCAAATCTTTAATTTCATATCTAACCAATGTTTTCAGTAAAACTAATGCAATGAAAATAAAATAGATTATATGTTAATGATATATCCAGGTGATGGATATTAACTAGCAGGGAACATAGGTTTAAGGCTTTCTGCTGACATATTCCAAACATCTGACATCGTTCAAAGATGCACTCAAAAGTATAATTTGGGTCATCTTTTCATTTATATATGTATATTGTCATTGGTGTATACAGATTTACAAAGCATGGTTTGAAGCGATAACACTGAAGTCACTTAGCTTGAACAAATTTATGAAACATTTGTCTTCATTAACTTATTCTACTCTTCACATCGTATTTATTAATCTTAAGACCAATTCTATCAATGCTATTGTATGTTTAACTTTTTCTCCTGAGTATAACCTATTTTATATAAAGAACCATGATCGAGTTAATGATATAGTTAACAGAACAAAACGGTGATTTATGAATTATTTTACATCTCAAAAGTCTGTATTGTACATGATCTTCACAACTGATACCATCTATATTTATACTTGTAAGGTGGAATTGATCGTATCATCCATATTTCATTTTAGGACTATTCATGACTGACCACAACTATTGCAGATTATTTAATTTTTACAATATAACTGTGATATGAGTATATCTGTAGAATACTAATGAACTACCTGGAAAGAATATACAAACTTGAGTTAAAGCTAGCCAGTTTACTAACAAATATTTTCAGTTATGGATATCAACAAATATTTTGAAAAATATGTTTATGTTGCCACCAAATCCATTTGAATTTTATTGTATCCTAAAATTTCTGTTGTTCTTTTTTCATCAATTATAAATAGACAAGACGTGACCGCAGGTGTTATAAGAAGTCGGGGTATAGAAATTTGCGTAAATTTGTAAATTACAATCGATCCAAATTCAGTATTTTGAAAAATTCACATTTTGTTTCTGAAATACACCATGATAAAGTAGGCATGAATTCAAACTGTTACAATGACAGAGAAATTGCTACAAATATTCATAATAATAATTTAAATGAAATGAACAATCAAAATACCAGTAAAGTTGAACACTTTCAGCCAATTTTTCCATACATTTGTGAATATTGTCAAATTGGATTTGTTCAACAAGCTTTATATTGTTTACACATGGGAATGCACTGTGTAAATAATCCATTGAAATGTAATATGTGTGCACAAACTTGTTTAGATGTTTATGACTTTATTGGACATACAATGCATTTTTGAGTAACTGATAAATTATTTATATTTAACATGCCAATTATTGATAAATGCTTATCTTTCAAATGTTGTTTTGTGGTTTTTTTGAAATCGAAAGTTATATAAGTTTCTTTTACCCCCATTACGGTTCAATTATAGACAGTTGAACTTAGGTTGATGCTATTTATTGATTTATGAATGGATAGTTATAGTATAAGAAAATAATAGAGATTATCTTGTCAACGTTTAGTTCATACTTTAATCGTAGTGGAATTGCTGATGAGTTTTTCTACGATGAGTAAATGAATACTAGAATTTTCCGGTAACTTATTTTAACATATTGTTGTACAATGATAAACGTATAGGTAATCTATATAGGATATTCTTAACAATATTAAGCGCATATATACTTCAAAGTTCAGTCAAACGGTCATAAGAATACCCATAAACACTGGTTTGGTATATTTGTTTTCCCTATGAGTAGATGAAAAAGCTTCTACTCAAGGAAGATGCTCAAGTTTCCCTGTTTGCTTCTAAAGAGAAACAAAGTACTAAACGAATCAAATGAAGAAATTGAAAGTGACGGGAAAATCATCATTTCAGAAATTGTACAGTATAAGAAATAGACACAACTTGTGTTATCAGATGAAAGACACACAAAAAGAATTTTACATGTAGTCAAAATTATACAAACAAGAACAACAAACGTTTGGTATTTTGTATATGGTTTAGAGGAACACTAAACTCTGTTTATGATAAGAAGACGATGATCAGGACTGCTTTATATATTATTTCAATTCATTTCGGATAAAATGATCACACATATACCTTTATATCATTTTACAAGTCTGCATCACCACACCTATATAGGGAGGAAAAAATATGATTTGTATGTGCCAAAATGGTTACAAACACAAATAAAATCAAGTGATTTACTAAGGGTAGATGATATACATTCATCGTCCTCTATTGCTAAACATAGTTGGAACAGGTCATAAGATTGATACTGACTCAACTTTTGTGGCTCTGCACAAAAGTGTTCAGGGGCATATACCAAGGTCTATTGGAGCGTTGGGCATGTGAAAATTCAAACCCCTTCATGTGTTCGAAAACAGTTTATTCTCACACTAGATCCTACCTGGTAATATTATTCTATTATCCAGTGTGGTGAGTTTCACGTTATTTTCAACATTATCCTCTCTATCATTTTCGTTTCTTCTTACCTTCCACTTGTCCAGTTAACTATAATTTTTCCTATATAGATTTTGCTAACAAGTATTTGTGTAATCAAAGTGATCGAAATGTATTGAGCAAATAAAGCACAGTCCCGAAAATCTTAGTCTTCTTGTTACACTATCTATTTAATGACATAAATTTAGTCAGCCCCACCTCCTTAGAAACAAAATATTATATATGAATGAGCTTCAATAACTATCAAGCTTATAAAATCGAAAAAATGATCACTGTACTCCACAGTATGTGTTTAAATATTTTAGGAATTTTCAATTCTTTCATATTTCGTCGTGGCCAGAAGCAATGAATTAATTTTATTCACATGATTACCTCAATCACTGGATGTCCATTCTCTGATGATGAGTCGTGCAATTCAATGCTTGCTGTGGATCTTTTATGTTCTTATAACAATTTAATTGTGTGAATAACTAAGAAAACTCTACCAAGTGTAAACAAATTTAGATTAAATAATTTAACTACTGAGTAATAATTTAAGTAGAAATGATATTTCCACGAAATGTTTTCATGTAGGCTAAATTAACGATTCACAATAATTAAGAGAGTATTAGGTCTTCGAAACAGTTAACTGGTTATTTTGGGTTCAGTAGAATCTATTCGTTATATAGTGGAATGAGAGTTGTTGCAAAGCGATTTTCAACACGCGATAACCTGGAATAAATATCACCATATTCACTGAACATGCTCTTCTTTATATTTTATAAAATTTTATTAACTGTCATTTAACATGAGAAAATTAACCATTCAGTCAATGTGTTTAATCAATGTATTAAATTTAAAAGTTGATATGGCTACATCGAACAGAAGTGTCATACATATCTTGACTGATTATTGGTTACTGCTCTAAATTAAGGTTTAAGAACGGTTTTTAAATAATCAATAACTGTCTTTTGATATGAATAGTTACTGTATTTAATGATAAAGATGATCATAGTTGAGCGATACGTAACAAAGGTTGTAGTGGTTGGTTGATTTATTAACTTGGTTTCACATTTTTCTAATAATAATGAATCATGTAGATTTTTTTGGTTTTAATTGATGATTAATTTTCGAGAGAAAAGAGAGAAACCTCCGTGTCTAAATATTGCTGACAGATACATTTGCTCTAAATTCTCGGGCCGAACTAGTATTAGTCATCATAAAATTTATGTGTGGGCCAGGATTGTTCGAGAGAACTCGGACTATTCCCCGTGCTTTTGACCTAGAGTTGTACATGATCTACAAGGCAGTGGAGTGGCGTTAAGGGCTGCATCCGGTGAAAAGACATAGGTCCATTCGCGGTTTGATCCTTTAGTATCCTCGTGCCCATGCGCATCATGGGTTTAGGATCACTGTATTTCGACTACCATAGTTGAATCTCCTGTATCCCTCAACTTGGTTCAAGCAGTGGACGTTCACTTTCCATCCTCTCACTTCTGTACACAACACTGTCTCTGCAAAAAAGCTGTGAGATGAGATTTATTGACGGCAATTATGAATATGGGGTCCTATGAGAGGATACTTAGAAGAAAAGTGGACCTTCACCCTACCTTTTACCGTTCTAAGACCATCAGGGGAACTAAACAGTAAATACGAATAAACTTACTGATAAATCGACAATCACGTGAAAAAAATGAAATATTCTACAACTACCATAGCTTTCAAAATATAGAGAAGTGAAAGTTTTTGTTGTCACGTGTGTCTGTACTAATTATAACACTTTAAAACACCTTATTTTAGATGTATAAAAACAGTACTTATATAAATCTTAGAAAGCTTCTGTTAATTTTTTTCAAATTTAAGAATTTAGAATTACATTATTTGTCTATGAAAAAACGAAGAAAAGTACTGGCAAATGTATTATGACACAATTAACGTTACGAACTGAAAACAACTTTTACAAAATTGTAAACAAATAAATTTATTCAGATGGAATTTCCTGTGTTGTTTTTTTTAATACTGAAACATATATTCATTATGTTAAAACACGTTTGGTAGTAAATTTCACGTGTACACAGTAAATAGAAATCATTACATCAGTTACAAGAAACATATTTTCAGTGTGAAAAATAAGTTTTGGTATATATATTATGGCCTAGAAACAGGGGGTTACGTAAATAAATTTAGAAAAAATTCAATAACTTTATTTTGATTAAAAAATCTTTACTTTTATGTAGGACTCTATCTTGATAACGGAGATCATCAACTTAAGAAAAATGATTTCTACGTATGACATCATTAAATATTGATGTGAGTTTCGTATAAAAAGGTTCATTACTTTTTAAATTAATTTGATGGTTTTATTAGTCTGATTAAAACATTCAAGAAGTTTGACTATTCTTTACAAAGTTATTGGAGTATTGCATGTGTTTTCGTGGTTATGTATTAACAACTGTGGTTATTTAGAGTGTTAAGGAAGTGATCCGATGTTAGGAATCTATAGAATTCATATACATGTTTATTAGTGCATACATCGAATGTATGGATTTGTAGTAATTTGTTTTAACAGATAATGAAGGTAAATAGTAAACTACTTGATTAGTTCATCAAAATATTTCGTCAGATAAATGTATTCCCATCAGACGTCATTGAGTCAAGATAATTTTAGAAGCTGAATAACATAAATTATAAATCCCTCATTTCACTATTGATGTAACCTTAAGATCCGGGTTGTTCCGTACTTAACTTCGACCACTTGGTTTGGGACCTGTAAATACACATCACTAAGTACAACTAAATATTTAATCTTAATGTATAACTAATTTACTATTCCAAAAAGTTTTACTTTTGGGTTGGTAAGAATAAGAGGTTTATTATTTATTTAATAGATATTCACTAGATGAATGTGAAGGTATTTTATGTGCTTACTAAAACAGATTAATAAGTGGGATTCTTATTTCGGTCATTGATATGACGAAATACTGATGGTCGTTGAAGAATATTCGGGTTGTAAAATATTTATTCTGAAAATGTATATACTTACGTACGATGTTTTATTGCCTTCATTAGTTTTTATTAGTAGGAACGTTAACCTTAACAATTCACATTGATCCTTCTTCATAAAAATACACTAGGTTCATGATGATGATTATCTGTTAATGTATAATAACCAGCCATCTGTGGAGCTGAATATAAAATCTAACTATTCATATCTTAGGATTCTACGCTATTAAGTAAATGGACATTAACGAGAGCTTAGATATTCAATAGTTTGCTGACCAACATGTCATTTGATATTAGCAGTTTGAGTAGTGGATATTTTCCTAGCTTCCCTGTTACAGAGACTTTCAGTTTAACATTTAATAGTGATTATATTATTACCGATGTCGTGTTAACCTAGTCCTCAGTCTTGATCGAATTGTAACTGCCGAATAACCACAAATCTGTAAAACTCCACCTCAATCATAGTATAGTTCCAATGTTTGGTGGTTGGATGAAGTCAGTTGGAAGCCTTGGGTCTAGATATAATGTTAACTGTTTTTCAGTTTTCACCACGTAAAGAGTATACTAATAATCCAGTGAAATACAGACTACTAATAAATTGACGAGTAGAAATGAATATAACAAAGTATTCACATTTAAAATTTTTGATTAAATATCATTTGTACTATGAATTCAGTTTATATTTTTTCCATTATAGTTTCTTTACATTAACGTGTAGATTTTAAAGATGTCATTACACATCATTTCCATTTGCCATATATAGCTGGTCTTTGAACAATTTCTTCATATACTATAACTTGATTTAATGTTTATACTGATCTACTATAAAGTAATAGCCAGTGTTTGACAAGTTTAGTCAAATATTAATTTTCAAATCTCCTAAATGAAGGTTTTATGTTAAGAATTATTTG